TGAGGAGGTCTGTATCCTGACCAGGGTTGCGTACGTAATTTACCAGACGTAAATTACATAGTTTTTTACAGTATATTACGTCCGTAATTTACGTGCTCAGTTTTATACGTGATTTACTTTTTCAAAATGGCTGAATTGTTTACATGATTGCCGTTGACTATTCCTTTATTCTGTGTCCTAACAAATTGCATTTAAAAAATGTTTAGAGGTGCAAGGCCGCGTCAAAATTTTTGGAATGAACTATCATTTATATCATAAACGGAAAATGGGAAAAGTGTGGCTTTTTGTCTAGGATGCAAACAAACCTTCTCTAATACATCTGAAGAGAGGTTAAGAACCTATACCCTGCCGGAAGAATGGACTGAAATTGTACTGGGGAATTAGTACTGAGAGCTCAGTGCTATTTCAGTGAAAATTTGCTGCGTTTCAGCACTGAAATTGTACTGGGAAAAATTACCTGCAAAAGGGTCGCTATCGGTGATGTTTATGGCCTGACCGTCATTAAGTTGAAGGACGAATATTTCTTTGTTAATGTTAAAAGTAATTTTTATTTATATTTCAACATTATATTTGTTTTTCATGAACTCAGATTCTTTACAAGTATTTATTAGGTATGCTAAATATTCTTGTAATCTAAATTCAAAAATAATATCCGTTTTTAAGTAACAATTAGAGTTTGCGAGATAGTTTATAACTTTTTTAATTAAACATTTTTTATAATGAATTTTAGATATTTGTAATCATAAAACATCACAGATTCAAATTTGTTTGTTTTGAAAATTTTATTATTTAAATTGTAAACTTTTTAAGCCATAAAATTATAATCCCATACAACAATAGGCTTTCGGGTCTATTGTTAAAGCAGGGGTTGCAATATAAGTTTAAAATTTAACGGGAATTTCGTTGAAAATTTTGTTAACCTTTTTTATTTTCACTTCCAGACTGTTAACAATGGTTTGTTGACATAACCTACATTTGAAACTATTGTTAAAGGACTTTAAAAATGTCTACCGAAACATTAAAAAAACGGACTGAAATTGTACTGGAGGCCAGTACAATTTCAGTACTTTTTCAATCCATTCTTCCGGCAGGGTACAGGTAAATTTGAATGTGGAGATGAAGATTATATGATGTTATATAAATAAATGTATTTTGAATATACAAATTATGATTGAGTTATTTATTTATTACTTATTACTTATTTATCTAAATTTTCTAAATTTATGTACAAATGGTACAAATAGAATTCGTAAACATAACCTATACAATATACTGTCCCGTCATAAACCTGTCAAAATCATCTTCAGCATGCGCTTTTAAAATAATAATTCATATTTTCAAAACATTATTTATTTAATTATAAACTTTACATACCTGTGAGCAACAAGGCGATTATAAGCAGAGGTTTGAATAATTTTCTTGCACAACAAGCATTTCAAAATGGCCTTTACTTTTTCTGTTTTTTGACGTTCAAACCCTAATTCTTCCCAGGGAATCGGTTGTCTTTTTTGGTTTGGTCGATTCATTGTATATAATTTATATTTAATAATCTGACGAATTTATTGCATGACATTGACGACGCACGTGTAATTTTCAAATATTATTCTTTTAACGCTTCTTCAATTGTCCGACATCTTTTTTTACATTTATTACAGGTTTTTTACGTATATTACATTTTTTATGTAATATACGTAAAATACTTTGAGTTGCGCGCAACCGTGCAACCCTGATCCTGACCCTGACTGTTCTGTCACAAACGTAGCAAACATTATGTTCTTGTAGTGTTCTAAGTCGGTTATATTACCCAGAGAATATTACCGAGAACGAGAATATTACCGAGAATATAACCGACGATTAAATTCTCTGAGAATTTAAGAGAATGTGACATAACCTCACTTTTGTCATTGCTCTGTGGTAAATTCGATTGTCCGACGTTGTGTTTTTATTTAGTAGTTGTTATTTTGTTTATTTAAGTGACTATATATTTAAAGATTTAAAAAATGACAAAACCAAAGAGTGTAAAATGGAAATATTTTAAAAGCAATGAATACAAAAACAATTAAATTCTTCTGTAAATTTTGTAAATAATAATATGCCACAAATGCTATATATTAAAGGTACTTGCACAGCTCTACTGACTGCAGGTTGTCATGGTAACACATAAGAGTAAGAGAGTCAGAAAATTCAAATTAAATGGTTTTTCTCTCTTAAGGTACACTCTCACCTCACTGCCTGCCTGCCTGCGCAGACAGGCGCCATAAGAGTGAGAGAGAAAAAACATTTAATTTGAATTTTCTGACTCTCTTACTCTTATGTGTTACCATGTCAACCTGCAGGCAGGCAGGCAGTAGGAGCTGTGCTAGCGCCTTTACTCTCGCAGCAGAGCTGACAGAGAGCCTTTATTCACAAATAATTTCAAAATATTTATTTTAAAAAATTTTAAATTCATTGTATATAATGTTAAATATATTACTTATTCTTTATTTATATATGTCTATATTCAAAAGTATCTAAACTTTTATTCGTACTAAGTTACGCATATTTTATAAACCTTATAAATGTAAATGACATTAAATTTTTAACTTAAAAAATATGTGGTTTTACTCTTTTTTATTTACATAAATAACTTAAAGAATTCTTTTAGATAAAAGTAATCATCGCAATTGTGCTGAAATATATGTATTTATATTAATAAAAATAATAAATATACATTATTTAAATAAATAAACTTAAATTCTCAAAATTCTCTTATAGTCTCTTAAAAAAATTAAATTACCGTAATTTCCTTAGGGAAATTACCCCAACTTAAATTCTCGAGAATTTAAGAACACTGTTCTTGTAGCAAATTGGACAAGTATTATACGTAAGTAGTGTTCTAAATCGGTTATATCCCAGTAAGAAGCGAGGAATTGAAAAGGATTGAAATAATTCAAACTCTGTATGGTGTAGTAGAAAGTATCCAATACTTTTGAATGCCATTTCTGTCCAATACTTTTCTATATCATGATAGGACCACGTTTCGTCTAAAAATGAATGCAATTCAATTCTGTTTGTAATTGTTAACAAAGACAAAATTTTTTTCTGAATGCTTTCCAATCCCATCCGAAATTATTACAGCCTGTCATTACATCACTTTTCAATTTTTTATTGGAACCGCGTTTCTGCATGCATTCAAGCAATTTTCTGGATTTTTGTAATTTATAAGATACATACATTGGCAGATTTTGTAAAAAGTGTTTGTGTTCAAAGAAAAACTTGCTGAAAAATTGATTGTTTACCAATTTTACGTCATTCCCTACTAAAAAAATAATGATAAAACATCAGAAAAATAATCAGAATTTCTGGTGATTTTCAGCAGTTTTTCTTACAATTGCAGCTCAAAAACATGAAAAAGAAATAAAACCCTTCAAAATACTGCCAAGAATCATGAAAACTTTTATGACTGCCACCGAATTTTTTTATAGCATAGCAAAAATTTTTTTTTGGGTATGTATTCTTGTTCCTTTATGTAAAAAGGTCGTCACACCTATTATAACTTAGGTATAAAATCGAAAAACCATTATACATTTTTTAATGTTTAAAATCATTTTTGTTTATTTCAACATTATATTTAATGTTTATAAACTCAGATTATTTTGAAGACTGTTTAACGTATACCTTATACTGTCTTGCATTAAAATTCAAAAATGATATCAGTTTTTACATATCAGTTATAGTTCACGAGATAGCTTATAATTTCTTCAAAATGAAGGTTTTGAGAATAAATTTTAGATATTTGGAAACATGAAATATCACAGATTCTAAATTTTTAAATTATAAACTTCCATTATTTAAATTGATCAAGTTTCAAGTAATAAAATTTTTAATTGAAGGAAGTGAATTTATCATTCGGTGATTAAATATTAAATTTGAAAGAAGTTAACAATTTTCCCGAATCAATCTACACAAATAAATTAAATGTCTTAAATAAATCTCGATAAGCTCATGGGCTTCAATGATAGATTTATTTAAGATATTTAATTTATTTGTGTAGATTGATTCGGGAAAATTGTTAACTTCTTTCAAATTTAATAAAATTTTTGTTTAAACAATCATAAACCTTCAGAACAATGCCTTTTTTTGCCTACTCGACTCAACTCAGTCACAATGACCAATTCGCTACGCACCTTCTTTAACAATTAAAATACTGTTATTTTCAGTTCTAATAATTTTTAAGTTCAAAAAATTAATTTCTTTGTTATGTTCTATTTCATGTGTAAATTGTAATCTGTTATGAAAAGAATTGAAGGCGTCAATGACATTTTTTATTTTTGTTTTCTGTATTATTTTGTAGACTCCCTATATTGAATAAACTTTTACGTCCGAGTTGATTTTAATTCGAATAGTAGGTAAAAAATTTTTTACACGAATACATTCGAACAAGTATCTTATCAAATATAAAGTACCTGTGATTAACTTTTAGTTTTTCTTATCACTTTCTTCCTTTTTTCTTCAGAAATGTGAAAGGACAAGCAATTGTTATTATTTGTTTTCACAAATACAGTGAAAAGTTTAAAGTTCATTAATTCAGAAAATAGCTTCGGGACCAAGAAAATCTTTTTCCAGTGTAGTGATCAATTAATTATTGCACTATTTTCGTAATTTTTTATTTTTCCGGAAAGAAGTTATGTACATATGAAAATCGTGAAAATAAGCAAAGTGCCAATTTTGATTGCTTGTTCTATCACATTTGTAAAGAAAACAGGAAGAAAGTGATAAAAAAAATTAAAAGTTAATCACACGTACTTTATATTTGATAAGGTTTTATTCAATCTATATGATTTCTCTTTCTCACATTTAGTAAATGAAATTTGCAAAATTAGGTTGTTTGCCAGGTAAACTTTAAAATAATTTTTCATTTAATATTTCTTATTAATAATAATGATAATTTACAAACAAATTATAATAAAACTTTTGTAAAGAATTTTTTTAAGGTGAAATATTTCTTCGTATTTACTCACTTATTCCGTAGAAACCAGCGTAGAAAATATAAAGAGCTTCTCGAAAACCGAGAACTAATCTCGTTGGCTCAACTAAAATCGGCAAATTCCCTCCAATATTATTCATGACGAAAAGAAAAATGCCAACTGTTGTGGATCTTACACTGAGGGGAACAATTTCCACAAGAATTGCAAATAAAATTCCAAACCACATTTCCGCTGCAAAAAAAATCCGATTAAACATTAAACGAAAGGGTTATCCCAGTGAGAAATCGTCAATCAAAATGACATCAATTTTTATTATTATTGTCAATGATCAAGTTTTTAAAAATTTTAACAAAATTTTGACGATTAAAATTTTTAGTAAAAACTATATAGGTAAATAGTTTTCCGAAATTCAAATATTTTCCAAAGTTACTCAAGGTCAAAGTTATTTGTAGCGTTTTAGTAAATTGCTAATTACTCGCGATCGGATGAACCGATTTTAATAAAAATTGGAGGAGAGATTACCTGAGGAATTGTATTTTAGATAAATGATCAAAATTTTAATTAAAAAATATAATTTGTTTAAATAAATTAACTTTTTAATTTTTGGGGTTAAAAAGAATTTGTTCTCCATCTTTTTTTTTATTTTTTTTAATAATCAAATAGAGAATACTTTTAAGATTTTATTTAAACAATAAAATGGAGAACAAATTTTTTTTAACCCTAAAAATTAAAAAGTTAATTTATTTAAAGAAATTATATTTTTTAATTAAAATTTTGATCATTTATCTAAAGTACTATTCTTCAGGTAATCTCTCCTCCAATTTTTATTAAAATCGGTTTACCCAATCGCGAGTAATTAGCTATTTACTAAAACGCTACAAATAACTTTGACCTTGAATAACTTTGGCAAATATTCGAATTTCGGAAAACTATTTACAGATTTTTATTATACCATAATAGGCTATTAAAACATATATAAATGAGAAAAATTCATCGACCCAATGAAAAATAGGGGCCCACTTCAGGAATTCTTATCCATATGTTCTTTCCAATACCCCCAATTTTTGCATAAAACGTTTCCACACCACCTACAGAATTGATTTTAACTTCAATAAAAATCACGTATTGGGCGGATTGTTTTTAAATGTCCATTGGAAGTTATGGAGGGGGGAAGAAAAATAAAAAACTTATTTTTTTCTGAAAGAACTTAACCGATTTGAATGGAATTTAAATATGTTATAAATAGATAAGACAATTTAAAAAAAAACTTTCAAAATTTTTTTCCAAAAAAAATTTTTTAAAAATTAATTTTTAAATTAAAAAAAAAATTAAAAAATTTTTTTTTTAATGATACACCTACAATTTTCCTTTTAAGAAATACTTTCCTCTTTAATATATGGGTGATTCTACAAAAAAAAAGAATTTTGATGTCTGAAGCATGTTTTGTATATTAATTTTGGAAAGAATAATTTTACTTTTAATGAAAATTGTAAATCTTAATGGTTTCTATTATGGCACAGAAAAAAAACCGATGAAAAAAAATATTTTTTTGCAAAAAATACACATTATAGTGCTAAATTTCCATTCGTCTGGCATGTCCCTTTGGGAGAATGACAGTTCATATTGAGAATAAATATCACTTTTTAAATGTTTTGCGGAAAATTCATACTGAATTAGTAATTTTGAATAGTTGTAGATTACTAATACGGAAATAATTATGACGTTTCTCTATATGAGGCATTATTTCCCAAACGTCCCAGCCCAAAAAAAAGTCTTGTTATTGGCTTCATATTTTGGGAAATTGTTATCCTATATAAAAGTAATAAATTTGCAAAATATTAGTTCTTTTAAAACAAAATTGTAGAAAGTAGTAGGGGTTGAAGTTTTGACATTTTCAGTAACACTGTGATTTTCAAAACCATATAACTTTTACAATACTTTACCGATTTTAATGTTTCTATAATGCATTTGAAGCATATTTTTCATGTACTTCCTAAAAATTTTACAAAAAAATTTAAAAAAAAACTTTTAACCCTCTTTTTTTAAAAAATAAAGTTTATTTTTTAATTTTGACCCAATTAGGTATTTTTTTTTAAAAAAATTTATTTTTATTGGAAAGCTGACATTTTTTTCAAAAAAAACATATATGTCTCATAGTGGGATGGCCATAAGTTTAGAAGATATTTAAAAACAAACTAAGCGGCGCGCCCGCGCCACTGTACGTTACGCTGTCGCTGCGCCGTTGAACGACACAAATATTACTGTTTCGTCTTCATCTGCTTCAGTTAAAAGCTCTCTCCATTCTACAGGGTTGAGACTGTCATAAAAATAATGCCTGCATTACTGTTACTAAAAAAAGTTTTAAATAATTAATTTTGAAAATAGAAGGGTAAAGCTTAAAAAATTTTTGACTGAACAATTTTGAATAAGTAATAAAATTATAAATTTAATTGACGAGATAGTAAATCATTTTTTTTACTGGGTTTTTTGAGAAACTCGTGGAGTAATTTTTTTACTTTTTTTTAGAAAAATTATCAAATTCAAAAATTCCATAGTCTTCAATGTTCTCCAAATAATCGAAATTTGACTGCAAAAGCTCTTTTTGACTGGACGCAAAAATATTGTAAAGAAACCCAAACATTTTACAGTGGCAAAGACAATCTACGTTGAGACAGCAAAAAATATTAAAGAACAAATTTGATAAAGCTCAAACTATACAAGGGATTTGATAATTTTCCTAAAAAAAGTAAAAAAAATTACACCACGAGTTTCTCAACAAAAAAACGAGTAAAAAATAAAAAAAATGATATTGACCTCGTCAATTAAATTTAAAAGAACTCTTTTAACTTTAAACCCAAGTTAACAATATTACTAACGCAGGCTTTTCAAAATTACATATACATATAAATCTTTATTTCGCTTCAATCAGAAAAATATTTAATTTTTAAGCATTAAGCTTTCTTTTTCATACTTAATTTATTTATTAAAAATAATTTTATTTATAAATATAATTTTATTATTTATTCAAAATTGTTCAGTTAAAAATTTTTTATGCTTTACCCTTCTATTTCCAAATTTAATTTTTTTAAAATTTTTTCAGTGACAGTAATGCAGGCATTATTTTTATGACAGTCTCAAGCCTGTAGAATGCGGAGAGCTTTTACTAAAGCAGATGAAGACGAAACAGTAATATTTGTGTCGTTCAACTGCGCAGCTACAGCGTAACGTTCAGTGACACGGGCGCGCCGCTTAGTTTGTTTTTAAATATCTTCTAAACTTATGGCCATCCCACTATGAGACATATATGTTTTTTTGCAAAAAATTTTAGCTTTCCAATAAAAATAAAAAAATTTTTTTTTAAATACTCAATTGGGTCAAAATTAAAAAATAAACTTTATTTTTTAAAAAAAGAGGGTTTAAAGTTTTTTTAAAAATTATTTTTTTTAAATTTTTAGGAAGTACATGAAAAATATGCTTTAAATGCATTATAGAAACATTAAAATCGGTAAAGTATTGTAAAAGTTATATGGTTTTGAAAATCACAGTGTTACTGAAAATGTCAAAACTTCAACCCCCACTACTTTCTACAATTTTTTTTAAAAGAACTAATATTTTGCAAATTTATTACTTTCATATAGGATAACAATTTCCCAAAATATGAAGCCAATCCAAAGACTTTTTTTGGGCTGGGACGTTTGAGAAATAATGCCTCATATGGGCAATTCCACGTGAGATTTTAGTCGACCTCTTAATATCGGCCAAAAATATTTTTTTTCTATTCAGTATCGAAAAAAACAGATACGTACTTTTTTATTTTTGTTTAATTGTCCAAATTTTCGTGTTATGAATTTTTGAAATTTTAGACTTTTAATTTGACCTATATGAATTCTATTTTTTAATATTTTAAAAATTTACTATAATTTTTGATAATTAATATTTAGAGTTTCGTTCGAGCTGTCGATGACTAAGGACGTGTTTACCTATGCTCGCTGTCTCGAAAATATATCCATATTTATTTCTTTGTTTAACAGAATAGTGTTAACTTTTATAAATAGGCTTATTTTTGGAATTTGACTTGAGTATTGTTTTGTTTTTTGTGCAATATACTGTGCTTTTAAATTGTACGTATTTTTGTTCTTTTAAAATTGTGTTGTGGCTCTGTGTGTGTGAGCCATCAACTATGAGTTCAAAAGAAGAAGAAAAATGGAATAAATTATTTATATCCATTGATTCTTTAACTGCGGCTGTAGCAGCTTTGGATAAAAAAGCTTTGGAGACTAATGCTGCACTTGAAAAACTCAACGGCAAAAATAAGGAACAAGATGATAAATTAGATGTTATGGAAAGAAACCATGCGTACTTCTATGACTCACAAAGAGCAAAGAATGTTGTCCTTTTCAAACTTGAAGATTCTGACGATAATAATAACAATTTATTTCAAGCAGTTTGTGACGTATTTACCAAGGTCGGTCTATGTATCCCGGAACTGGCAATTGCCGATGTTTTTCGCTTAGGCAAAACCATGGGTAATAGACCAGTTAAAATAAAATTTATTGCGGCTAGATGGGTGAAGATGGTTTTCTCCAAAATAGCAGAGTTCAGGAGCAACAACTTGAGTATTGCTTACTTGAGTATCGTACCAAGGCTGATAGGGAGAGACGTCGTCTTCTGGTTGATAAGATGAGAAATTATCATAAAGCTGGGATTAAGGCCGTAATAAGAGGTGATAAAATTATTATAGAGGATCCACAATCTCCTCCGAAAGATACAATTTTAACCTCGTTATCACCGGATCGTCCTTCTTCTTCTGAACCGGTTAAAGACCCCCTTCCGAATTTTCAAGGCAAGGATTTAGCCACTTCTAATCAATCATCTAAAACTAATACAGCTGACAAAATAGACACTCCAAAGAAAAGGAAAAAAGTTGCCTCCTCTCAAACCAATACCTTGAAGAATTTTCTATCCATGGATATGTCAAAACAAATTCAAGACTCTGTCCCCAAGCGTCAAAAATTTTCATCAATACCGCCTATGAGTGATAAAGAATAGCAAAAAACCCATACCCCCCCCCTGGAAGAATTTTTTATGCCCAACAATTCCTTAATGAAGTTCTGCAATTCTACGAATAGCAAGATTGTTTTCTGGAATGTTCACGGTATCCACAACCTATCTGATATCAGCGATCATATTGGTGCTCAAGATATTTTGTGTGTGTGTGTGAAACATGGGCT